AACGGTGCATGGCAACAGGGACTGAAAGGATTCAGCTTGCCCAGCCAGCAAGTACAATATCTGGATAATTTGTCATTGTTCTCAGACTGAGGAACAATACCCAAATCTCCCAAGTGAGTTGCTACAACTGTTATGGGTTAGGGGATGAAGGTTAACCTTAAGTTTAGACTGGACAGGTGGTGGCTTAATTCTTGGGACTGACTCAGAAATGGGTGTTTGGGGGAGGTGGGGAAGGGTGTGATGTTACAAGTTACAAGAATTAGAACCCAAATGGTGTGTTGGGGTCCAATCATTCTTGGGTTTGACAGGGTACTGCAGAGAATTCACTAAATGATATGCAGCTCCCTGTCCTCGAAACCAATTTGAATGGAATTGTACAGATATGTAGGTCTCCTTGACCAGCCAAAGGAAACTAACTTGCAGGCCACATCCAACTTCTGGGCCAAACACCTCAAGGAGGTCTCTATTCGAGGCTTAGAGCAGTCCTGATGCAAGAGATGCATGGCCAGTCCCTATGCCTATGGACCCAGCAGGTGCAAGCAAAATCTCAATTAATATTAACTGAATGAATCACTCACATAGCAAGCACTGAGTGGGGTATGTGGAACTGTGCCCCAACAGGTTCACGCTAGCTAGCTCAGGATAAAAAAGGAGGCTGAACAATCACTTGGAGACAGGAAGATCAGAATTTATCACTTCCACCATTCCGCCTCTCTGACAAGCCCAAACAACATTGCACAGGAGGCAAGTTTGGAGCAAGTTTCTGTTTATTTAGTGCTAAAAACAAAAATTTGAGTCTTTAGCTGTTGTTACTCTGAATAAATCTCTGGACTACAAAGAAAGGGGATATCCAAGCTTGCGCTGACAAGTAACATTCATACCACACAAATGCCAGGTAATGCCCATCTCTGATAAGAGACAACCCACGACTGGCCTTTGACATTCAATGGCATTACTGAATCTATGCCCCACCCCCCAAATCAACTAGGTGTCAAAGATACAGGAAATATATTAAATACCAAAACTATAAATCCTGTTCATCAAGTCAAAGTATGAAGATGAGGCAAATAGAAGTGATAAAGGAAAGTGAGAAAACAATATGGAACTAAATCAAAAGGACTATCATTGGATCAGTGTGTTTTTTTTTTAAACACTTATTTGTGAGATTAAAGACATACATTTATAGCCACCATAAAATTTTACAATGAGGGATCATACCACCATCAACATTACATAACTTTGCAACATAAAGTAAGCAGAGTACTTGTGAATTGGAAGGCAGTAAGTTAGAATTTGTTACAAGTGCATAGTCCCTTTAAGGGGTGACGTGCTTTTCTAAGCTTGTGTTTTCATCTAAATCTCCATCTGTAAGCAGCTGAAGAGGTACAGACAGCTCTGAAATTGATACGTGCATCAATTGACTTTGTGATTGGAAACCTTGGGCTTGTTTTGATGTTTTGGCAACTGGTTTGAAGATCAGCCAATTAACTTAAACCAAACGTTTACAGAGATTGAAAACTAATCAAATTTCAATCTGATGGTTTTGACAACTTCAGACCAATCCACTAAGAAAACTGACAGGTTATCAGGGGTATTTAAGAAGAGGGTTTTTGAAAATCGGTGCGAGAGCAAACTGCCATCTGAACAGTAAATATCTGGATCTCAAATTTTTACGCTTTAAGACAGCACCATCTAGTCATAAAAAGGTACCACAGCACTTCTAGCTAAAAGTCCTCACAGAATTCAGACAAAACAACCTGACAGAAGGATCAGTAGAAGAAAGGCACTTATGACTGGACAGACAGCAGAGGAGGCAGAACATACTGGAAGACACACCCTGTATAAACTTTTGAGAGTCTAATTTTAATTTATTTTTATTACTTGGGTTTATTCAAGTGGGATTTGGGTTTGTTGGAACAGCATACCAGTAGAATTTTGCTTAGTTAGGGAATAGTTGGTAGTTAAGAGGAAATGGTTTGATTTGTTAGTAGTTCTATTAATTTGTTTCACTGTCAGGGTTAAATAAGTGAATTGTCACTTGTTGCTTGAAAAGTGAATATCAGGGATTTTCTTTCATTTAACCACTCCTTTTTAAACAGATTACATGTGGTGAGGCAAGCTTCTCTAGGTGTTTCTGGTTTAATTATTAGAAGGGGATTTCTACTCCTGCTGTAACAGACTGGGGACCTGTGTTGTGTTTAGATTTTAATTATCAGAAGGGTTCAACCAAGCATGGCTTAGCATTTTTATTGACAGCGTCGATGGTCTATAACTTACTCATTGATACTGCCATTCCATAGATGATACCATTATCATCAACACCAGTTATTTCAACGTTGAAGATATTCACATTTGGTAGGACAGCTGGTTTGTATGTTTTTTTGGATGACAGATGATTTTCATGATTGTTGAGTATTTCATATCCAATTTCAGTTGCTTGGTCCAATGGCTGTTCCTGGTCACTTTGCTTCACATCAGTCTGTAGTGGTCTACAATCTGGTGCAGTTGAACTTGAAGTGAACACAATAAATGGGTCAGGTCTGAAATCAAAGTTGTGACTCTAAGTAAAGAATGCATTTTATGCCAAACAACTATAGCTTCCATACTTGAAACAATGATGTACATCACTAAAACCAACTGCAACCAAATCTAAAGTAACTAAAACTTTACCAAAAATCAATTTTATAAATAATTTCTAGAACAGTAGTTTATTTTACTGAAGTTTTGAATGTAAAAGTATTTTACTTGAGCAACAACTATCATTCTCAGATGTTCTCAATAATTACAATTATTTGATTGTTATCCATAGAATGTGGCAATGGTTTATTCAGGTTACAAATTTATAAAGCTTACAAGTTTAAATAATTCAAATAGACTGATCACTGAACAGTACAAACATACTAAATATTAACAAGACATTACTTCAACATGTAAATGCATGTGGAAAGTTGACTTCAATCTACTAACCATACATAAAATTCTGTACACTGAAGCCAAGTTAAGCTGAAGCCTCAGCGAGTTACTATGAAATTGCAACTTAACTTTTATACTAATAACCACACTTTCAGATTAAATAGCCTATTTCACAAAAAGTGTCATTAAGTACATGGATATATTTTGGCAAATAAAGTTCCATAATTTTACTGCCTTGAAAGAGACTGCCCACTTGATAGGAGTTTCATTCTTTGTATCATTTGCAAGCACGTCAAAACCATTGTTCTTAGTTAAATGTAAACTGACATCAACTAAACTTTTAAATGAATGCCTTTCCAAAATACCAGGGGGCAGATGTTTAAGAGATAAGCATGTAAGATGCACAAAACAATGAAGGACTAGCAAGTAATTTTTCCTCATTTCCCATTCACCAGAATCTACCTAAACATAAAAGAATTAGTACAACATTCAGAAAGGAAGAGGACCCTTACATAGCTGTCACTGCAACAGCTGTCAAGATTGATTTTCCTAATGCATTTAATACTGCAGCTAAATAGAGACATTGAGGACTGTCTAATAGCAGTAAAGCATATGCAGTTGATTGTTCACATGGGTCAGAGATTTCCATGGACAAACTAAACTATAGGAAAAGAAGATCGATGTTCCACACATTACTTGTATAAAAAGCAAGTTTGATTTATGCAGCATTTACGCTGTGCAAACCATATTTTAATTTTGGATCAAGTGATTTCGATCAGAATGAAAACTCCACAACACGCAGACCCTTTAAGTACGAAATTAAGAATGGACCAAGCATGGGTTATCTAGAATACTGACTGCAGAAATCAAAAATCTAAATATTAATAGCACATTTTGAAAAAACTAAAAGGCCTTAACTGGAAATCAGTGATCAGTGAATATGCCCCTGGTCAAAGCTAAAAAATCACAAAGCTATACAAAATAAGGTGGTACATGATTCCTAAAGATAGAATGGAATTGAATTATGACAAACTAGTAAAAGAAGCCAAAGTGCAGCTGTACTTTAGAACGAATGCCTAACAGCTGGTGAAAAACACAGGATGTCACGAGAGGGCCAACATTTTGTGAAGCTCTTCTGGGAACTGAATTAAACAGCTATCACTAGAGATGCAACCAGCAGATAATTAAGTGAAAAGCATCTAAACTGAAGTATCATAAAGGCTGAATTATAATAGATATTCTATTTAAAAGTCAAACTAAGTAGAACTGGGATTCACTCAATGTAACCTGCATCTATTAAAAGTTCCAGGAGTTTTGATGCCACATTGAAATTACTCAGCTGTAGCAACTGTGTTGTAGATTAGACATTTTCCCCCTAGTAATACTTTATCTTCAGTTAAAGGATCTTTCCAACCAGAACTTTTATGAATCAAAATGCTAACTTTAGTACATGCTGTTTATAAGCATGCCCGATTACAGCTGCCATCTCCTTGCCGATTTGGTAATAATGTTTAATTGGTTGGCAGAGGCAAATTGACAACAATGTTAAATATGCACAATTACAACATAAAACATCCACAAAATTATTAATATAGCCTTACATACGAAGAGATGAGTTAACGTCTCTAGCTTGCTCAGGCATTCAATTGGATCATGGCTAGTTTAACTGTGACCTCAACTCTAAGTTCCCACCTGCCCAATAATGAGAGCATCCTTATTAGGTGAAGGTTACATTTACCTAAGGACTCTTATGGCAGTGGTACAGCCCCAACCACTGAACCAGAAGGTTCTGGTTCAAGTCCCACCCATCCATGTGTCATAAAAATGTCTGAACAGGTTGATTAAAATAATTATATCTACCACTGCCTTACAAGTGTTCAACAATCTGCCTCCACCAGACTCAGCCCTGAGAAAGAAAATCAAAATGACACTTCCCTTATTATTAAATTGTACCCCTATTTTAGTCTATCCCACAAGAGGAAATATTATTCAGTATCCACGCAGTCAAGTCCTCTCAAGAATGCAAGCGTTTCAATTAGATGACCTTTCATTCTTCTAAACTCCAATGAATAAACACCCAGACAGTCAAACTTTCCTCACGTCTAGGAGGAGTATAGCATATCAGGGCTAGACACAAGGCTAAGCACTTCAAGGTACCTTCAGCTAGAAGTGTCAAGTGGTCAATCCACTTAGCTCCTCCTGAAATCTCCACATCAAAAGATGCCAGCCTTCAAACAAGATGATACACGCTAAGTGACATGAAGGAACAACGGATATTGCAAAGTTTGCAGATCCTGACAATATTTCAGCAAATGTACTGCAGACTTGTGCTCCAGAATTAGCTGTGTGTCTTGAGCCAAAAACTGTTCTAGTCTGGTCTTCAACTGATGGACTCTCAAAAGTTGCATGGCACAAGATCAAACAAGCAAACCTCGTGCTGATTACCATGTACTGTCCTCAACTGATGAATCAATGGTCCTACATGTGGAACAACACTTAAAGGCAGCACTGAGGGTACAAAGGCACAGAATATACTCTGGGTGGGGGAATTTCAATATCCAAGAGTGGCTCAACAGCAGAACTACTAATTGAACTGGTTGAGTTCAAAAGGACATAGCTGCTAGACTAGGTCCGGAGGTAGGTGGTGAGGAAAGAAACACAATGGAGAAAAAAAAACATACTTGACATCATCCTCATCAATCTGACAGCCAAAGATGAAACTGTTCTTGACTAATCAGTAACAGCGACCATCACACAGACCTTGTGGAGACAAAATCCCACCTTCACATTGAAAATACCTTACATTGTGTTGTGTAGTATGGCACCAAAGCACTAAATGGGACAGACTTGGCACAGGTTCAAGACAGACTATCCGTGCGTTGTTGTGAATGATCAGCAACAGGAGCAGAATCTGCTCCAACACAATCTGCAACCTCACAGATCAGTATAGTACACCTGCCCCAACTTCTACCATTACTATCAAGCCAGGGGATCGACCCTGGTTCAAAAGAAGTGCGCAGGAGGGTACGACCAGAGTGGCACCAGGGAGATATAAAAATGAGGTGTCAACCGGCTGAAGCTTAAAAAACAGGACTATTTGCCTGCGAAACAGCATAAAGCAGCAAGTGTTAGACAGATCTAAATCAATTCTACAATCAACTGATCAGATTCAAGCACTGCAGCCCTGCCACATTCACTCGTGAATGCTGGTAGACAATTAAACAACTCATTGGACGAAATGGCTTCGCATGTATCTCCATCCTGGATGGTGGTGGAGCCTAGCACATCAGTGCAAAAAAGACAAGGCTAAAGCATTTGTAACAATATTCAGCCAGAAGCGCCAAGCAGATGATCCATCTCTGTGTCCTCCAGAGGTCCCAGCATCACAGATACCAGTCTTCAGCCAATTTGATTCACTCCACGTGAAGTTATAATTAGCTAGAGGCAGTGGACATTATAAAGGCTATGGGGCCATGATAACATTACAGCAATAGTATTGATGACTTGTGCTCCTGTGCTTGCCATATCCTGAGGCAAACTGTTCTAGCACAGTAATGACACTAGCATCTACCTGACAATACTGACATTTGTCCAGATACGTCCCGTACAAAAAGCAGGACAAATCCAACCTGGCCAATTCTTACCCTATCAGTCTCATCAATCATCAAGAAAGTGATGGGAGATGTCATCAACAGGGCTATCAAGTATTAGCTGCTCAGCAATAAGATGGTCACTGATGCCCAGTTTGGGTTTCGACAGGGCAACTCCACTTCTAACCTTATTAGCACATCCGTTCATACTTTAACCAGAAAACTGAATTCCATAGGTGAGGCAACCATGACTGTTTTTGACGTCAAGGCCACATTTATCAAGAGTATAGCATCAAGAAGCCCTACCAAAAGTAAAGTCAATAGATGTTGACTTTAGTCGGTTGTTGGTCAGAATCAAGTCTAAATCAAAAGGAAGATGGTTGATGTTAGTCATAGAAGACTATAGTATAGAAAAAAGCCTTTCAACCCATCAAGTCTGCAATGGTCAAAAACAAATGCCTAACTATTCTCTTCCCATCTTCCAGCACTTGGTCCATAGACTTGTATGCCTTGGCATTGCAAGAGTACATTTAAATACTATTTAAATGTTGCAAGGTCTTCCGCCTCTACCACAGTTACAGGCAGCGAGTTCCAGATTCCCACTAACGTCTGGATTGCGAAAATATTTTCCACATATTCCCTCTGAACTTCCTGTCCTTATCTTAAATCTAGCCCCCCTAGACACTGACCACTCCACCAAGGGGAAGGTTTCTTCCTGTCTACAATCAATGCTTCTCATATCTTAATCATGTTCCCCACCCCCCTGTTATTGGAGATCAGTCATCTCATCTCCAGGACATCTCTGCAGGAGCTCCTCTGGGTAGTGACTAGACCCAACCATC